CTGGGGGTTCCACCGAACCCTGACACGCACCGTTATATAAACAAACAAGGCAAAGCCAGAATCTAGAAGGGAAAAAAAAAAAAGGGAAAATGAAAATCAGAAGACTTTTCTCTTCCTGTAGGACTTCTCAGTGTTGTATTCTTTTTTAGTTCTTTGCAATGTAGGATTTCGATTCGGACGAAATGGTTGAGAGTCACGGAAACGAGGTCGGATCTCTAGTTCTTGACCGCCCTGCCGCCGCTGCTCACCACACCCGACTATGGGCGGCCTTCTCCAGTTCTGCATTCCGTCGGAAAATCGTCGACGCGGTGAGCTGTAGTGCCAGCCCTCGCCACCGTCAGAACGAGGCAGCGGCGGCCGTTTCTACCGCCACCTCGACGACAACAGCTAAATCTGTCTCGGAGCATTCCGAGGAGCAGAAGCATGAGAGAGTGAAAGCGAAGGGGAACAAAACAAATGTGAAGTCGGAGAAGCTATCGGATCTCTTGAACTTGGTGGAGGCAGAGTCTGAAGCCGAGACCAGAAAGAAGGTGGAGGTTTTGGAGGAGTTGAAGCTGGTGGTGAAGGAGTTGCAGGTCGGCGATGAGGCGACGAGGAGAGAAGCGGCTAGTAGAGCCCGGCTGCTTGCTAAGGAAGATTCGGAAGCTAGAGTGACGCTAGCGATGCTCGGAGCGATTCCGCCGTTGGTCGGGATGCTCGATTTTGAGGACGCCGATTCGCAGATCGCCGCGCTATATGCATTGCTCAATCTCGGAATCGGAAATGATGTGTGAGTCAATCGCTTCGTTTTTGTCAGTTTCTCGGTTTGATTGATCACTTCCTTTATTCATTGCCTTTTTCTGGAATCTCATTTTCATTAAGGGTACTTCTTAAGCTTTTCAGGTACGATTTTGCAGATTCTTGTGTTCCTATTTCTCATTTCCACTGTTGTTTTCTTCAATTTTGCATATGGACAAAAAGCGTGAACATTTAAGCGTTTGGCTTTGGATGTTTTGTTGTATTATTGGCGTCATTATCCTAATTTATAAATATTCTTCTTTTGTTTTTTTTTATAATATATTAAAATTTTTCATTGTTGTGTTTTATTACTCATGTTCACCAAAAATTAAAAAAAAAAAAGAAAAAAGAAAAAAGAAAAAATGATTGTGCCTTGACAAGTTATTTTCCATTACTTATGTAGTGCATACGGCTGTTTTCTCTAAACAGTTCAACATTTGGATCTAATGGTATTTAATTCGTCTATAATGATCCATTTTGGTTAAGTTTTTTAGGATTTTTTTTTTCCACTGGACATGTTCTCATATTTACCTGTTTTATTTTTTTGACTATGAAATCGCTTTTATTTATTTATTTATTGTCAAGTTGAATATCAGGAACAAAGCAGCCATTGTTAAAGCAGGGGCAGTTCACAAGATGCTGAAGCTTATTGAATCTCTGAACGCTCCAAACCCATCTGTCTCTGATGCTATAGTTGCTAATTTCCTTGGCTTGAGTGCGTTGGACTCGAATAAGCCAATTATTGGATCATCAGGAGCACTTCCTTTCTTGTTAAAAACCCTGAAGATTTTGGGCAATATTAAAGGTTCTCAGGCAAAACAAGATGCCCTTAGGGCTCTGTATAATATCTCAATCTTCCCACCGAACATTTCCCTTGTTCTAGAAACTGATCTGGTACCATATCTCATGAACTCATTGGGAGATATGGAAGTAAGTGAAAGAATTCTCTCGATTTTGAGCAATGTAGTATCAACCCCAGAAGGTAGAAAAGCAATTAGCATTGCGCCTGATGCATTCCCAATTTTGGTTGATGTGTTGAATTGGACTGACTCGCCAGGGTGCCAAGAGAAGGCATCTTACATTCTCATGGTGATGGCACATAAAGCATATGGAGATAGACAAGCCATGATTGAGGCTGGAATTGTGTCATCCTTGCTTGAATTAACACTTCTGGGAAGTACATTGGCACAAAAGAGAGCTTCTAGGATTTTGGAGGTATTGAGAGTTGATAAAGGCAAGCAAGTTTCGGAAAACTTTAGTGGGAATACAAGTGCAGCAGTGTCTGCTCCTATCTGTGGGTCTTCTTCATCGTCTACAAATCCAAATGGAACTTCAAATGATTGCTTGGTGGAGGAGGAAGATATGATGAGTGAGGAGAGGAAAGCTGTGAAACAATTGGTCCAGCAGAGTTTGCAGAATAACATGAGGAGAATTGTCAAGAGGGCCAATTTGCCACAAGATTTTGTTCCATCAGAACATTTGAAGTCCCTCACCGCAAGCTCGACATCGAAGAGCTTACCATTTTGAAAAGCAAATGGAATCATTAATTCCAAGCATGGAGATTGAAGTGAAGAATCTGAAGTCAGTCTTCTTGTCACAATCTTTTAGTGCTTTTGATTTTTGTGGCTTTGTTATTGTATGATAGATCTTTCTTTGTTCATAGATTGTGTTATCAAAATGATCTTTGTAGAAATTCTCGTCAAATTTCTTCAAGAGATCCATACTGTCTCTGATTCCCATTAATCTCACTCACAAATCAACTTTTGAAAAAGAAAAGGAGGTATATTTAATTTTTTTTTTACGTAACTGTAGATCTGAATTCTGAAGCAAATCATAATCTGGAGGGGACCCTTCTCAAGATTGATGCTTGGATGTCAGTGGTAAAGGATGCAACATTGGAAAAATCCTAGGGTTGATTTAGTCACTATGTTTTAACTGGGACCGGTGTGGTTATGGGCATTTACAATAATGATTGGGACTGGGGTAGTTATGACCATTTAAAATAATGCTAAGGTCACATAGATTTTGCTTACTTATATTCTCTTATAATTATTTTAATAATTAATTATGATATTTAAATATCAAATTATAATTTAATTATAATTTATTAAATAATAAATGTTAATTATTTTCTTTATTATTAGTTATTTTTAACAATTAATAAAACAAAGTTAATACTTTTAGAATCAATATTATATGATTTATCTTCTAAATCACATGTCGGTCGTTTTTTTCTGCAAGAACAAGCACTACACCTACTCACCATTTCGGCATTTCCCATCTGGGATTCTCTTCCCTCCTTCAGTCTCTTTATTTCTGGCTCTCGATGTTTTCTCCGGAATCTAAGGATTAACAGGACTTCAACTGAGTAATTATGAAGCTCGCAGTGGAAACATGGACTGTTAAATGTCTTTTTCTTTAATTAGTTTGAAAGTTGAATAATGTATTAAATTATTAATTAACCTCTGCAGCATTTGACTTGGTTTATAATGTCTACTATTTTTAGCTCTGTACAGAACAAGAAATGAAAAGAATCATGCCAATTATTGGTTGCAATTAAAAATTGTCCACAGTTCTACCCTCAAGGCATGAACATGTCCATTTATCTATGTAGGGTATGGTCATTTTCCATTCTGTTCTATTTTTACTCTCTCCTGCTAGCTCATGTTCTGTTATGTTATGTGGCTGGGTTTGCAGTGCAGTTTTCAGTGTAAACATCACATGGTAGTGTTATTCCTGAATGGACAAGCATAAGTTATGAGTTGATATTCTTAATCTTACCTTCATTTGTCACATAGAAAACTTGTCTTCTTTCAATTTATCCGTTGGAAACCTGTAAATTTTAGTTAGGACAATGGTACTTTTTTGGTTGCGATAAATGAGAATAGTTGGAGGATTTAACTTGGTGGTTGGATAGAATTGTGAAACCTGGGTAAGATGGGTATAGTGATACAGAACTAAAAAATCCAATAGCATTTGTCTTATTTATTGCTCCTGTTGTTGGTAGATCAAACTCTAAATTCAAAGGTCACAACTTCCTTTTCAATATCCTTTTTTCGTAGTAATG